TCTAATGTCTCTCCCTGAGTAAGTGAGAGATACGGACAGAAGTAGCACAGGAGGTTTATTAGGAAGCACCCACACTTGTATCTGCTTGTCACGCGACCAGGTATATGCTCCTTCTGTCAGTTTGGTTACTGAAGTTTCTTTAGTGTCAGTACAGTATCTTATGGGGAGACACTTTGAGACTGTTAAACGCCCTCTTTCTTGTCCCGGTTCTGCTGTCCACTATTCTCAGCACCCATGGGTGCTTCTTCCCTGAAACTGTTATATTGATTTTTGTCGTTTCATAATTTTTCAATGATAATTACTTGACGTTCTTCTCTATAAATATTTTCATTCATTTACTCATATCACTTGGGCTGATAATTATTTTATTATACAGATTATAGTCTCTCATTTGCTTTTATTTTGATGCACCCATGTTCCCACATTTGGCCAGGGGACTCTGTTCAGGCTGGCTCTTGGGTACCTTTTGACATGTCCATACCAATCTTTAAGCACATCATGTTTTCTAGAAAAACAATCTATTTGAGGTTCACCTTGTATTTTCTACCCTTGGCCCTGGAGTCAGTGCATTTCTGCAAGGAGTCTGACTCCTTTTGGTGAAAACCAAAGAAAAAACCACATAATCGTGACAAACCAAGATCTAGGTGCTAGGCTCGTGTTAACAGATGTACATAAGACACTTTGATTGTTTCCAGTAAATCTTCACATTTAACTGTAGTTGAAAATGCATGTATAATTTTTATGCTTTGGCAGTTGGAGACATATTTCTTAACCTAGCATACTTGGAATTAAATTCATATGGTGCTAATAAGTCCAGAACTGGAATCTTTGTCAATAATGAGTGAAAAATTGTATTTCCTTCAGGTGATCATTAACTCAATTCAGGATTATTTTAGTTTAGCTACTAATGGACTTGCCATTTAAAGAATAAAAGTCAGCTTTTCAAATCTGTTGGTCTGCAGAACTGAAGACTGTAATTGCAACACTTACTCTTGTTCATCAGGCCATTCTTTTTAGTCACTTGTCAGCATTCAGCAGCTGGCAAAATATTAATTATGCGTGTTCAATTTCTGTATCTCTTTATAAATCAAAAGCTTCCAAGTAGAAATATAGTATCGGTTGCATCAGTCTTTTCAAATAGAATTAAGCATTGATGGTAGAGAATACGTATTATTTATGTGGCATCTAGCAGAGTAGATAGTGTTCTCAGAAATACCACTGTGTTTGAGAATGCTGCTTTAACTTACGCAAAAGACTGTGGCATACTTTCCCTTCTTCTCAGTGGTATATGCTGTGCCTAGAATTTAGTGTTCTGCATAGCTAAAGGGAAAGGGATGGGAGTTTTTGAAGTTGCACTGGAATATAATGATGAATGTTCCTTTAAAAATAAAGAGTGGAGAGACTGATATGAAGCATTTGGAGCATGTTTCCCATCTGCAAATCACCCAGCATTTTCTGCATGGGCTTCTGAAAAGAGCAGATCTGAAAGATGCTGCTAGGTGTTTCCATACCCTTTCTCTTAGAAAGGATGGTGTGCAAGATGCTCTTGCACATACCTAGCACACATCAGTCTCTTAAGGATTTTGAGATGCCCCAAGACGTAGAAGTACGCTTTATCTTTATAGGCTAGCATTTTCTAGACTTCCTTGAGCAGGGAGCATCTGTTGGCTGTGTACTCACCACAAAGAAGACAGTGGTCTAAATATGTTGTTTCATTTTGCTTTGTATGTATGTGTGTGTGTATACATGTATGTATTTTTTGCTCAACAGATGTTATTGAGCGTGGTCTCAGCACAACCAGTGCCAGGGTCAGAGACTCAGCTCACATCTGAGAGATCAGGGAAGTTATGTCAAGATAAGAGTTTATGAGTCTTGCAATTGAGGTCAATTTTAGAGCATTGTGGGAGCACAGAGGGGACTCCTGCACCTATCCCAGTCTGCATCCTAAAGGGTTAAAGTTTACAAAGTCAGGACGCAGTGTATTTTTATTCATTTATTCCAAAATCTTTTCTGAGCACCTGTTCCACGGTGGGTGCATACTAGACACTGGAGATGGATAGAGCAGAACGGGATGAAGGAAAATACTTGTCTTCAGAGATCATTTAACTTACTGGAAGGAGGCAGACGAGAAACAAGGTAAATACAAAAACGTGCATATTTGCTTTGTTACATAATGGTGAGAAGTGCAAAAGGGAAAAATCTCCCAAGGAGGGGATAAGGGAAGGGTGTCCGCTTACTGTGTAGTGAGGAGAGGCAGTTTAATTAGGGTTGCCAGAGAAACGCTCGTTTAGAAGGTGACTTCTGGGTAGGGAGCTGGATGGAGTGAGGGAACTGTGACTCTGGGGCAGAAGGTGGTCCAGGCTGAAAGGGCAGAGATTGTAAAGGTCTGGGAAGGAAGGGGACACTTTGCAAATCACACATGCAGTGAGGAGCAGTCCCTTGCATGGGAGTCATGTGTGTGAGAGCGGATTCAGAAGGTGAGGCCCGGGAAGATGTGTGAAGTGAGCCATGGAAGCGATACAGACCACGACCTGACCTGTGGCTCCTATTTTGAGTGGGATGGCAGGGTATGGAAGGGACCTAACAGTGCAAAACTCCAAGACCTGGCCTGCATTTTGACAAAATGGTTATGGGGCTCTGCGGAGAATGAACGGAAGGTGGAATGTGTCCAGGGGGATGCTGGGAGCCCAGCTCGTGGTAAGGAAATCCAGGAGAGAAGTGACTTAGACTTCTGGTATTGGGGAGGTGGTGCAGACCCTGACCTGTTCCGCGGAGGTGTAGTAGGGCAGGGCTGGCCACAGAGCCAGTGAGGATAGCAGAGAAGAGGAGTTAAGGATGCCCCTGTGGCTGCTGGTGATCACAGGCAGGGTGAGTGGACACCTTTCAAGAGTGGAAGGCAGTGAGAGGAGCAGGTTTAGGAAGGGAAGTGGGGATTTTCTCTTGGCTGATGTTACTCTGTACTTGCTGTTGAGCCAGAAAACAGCACGCTGGGGAAACTTGTCACATGGGGAAAAGAGAAAGAGACTGTCTCCGTGTGGAGTGAGGAGGGTAGGAGAGTGTTTGTTCCAGTGCAGAGACCTGTGTTGTTAGGATTTTGTCCTCAAGCTTTTTAAATTATGTCAAGTTGCAGTAAGTATAGAGCACACAATTTACTGCCTTAACCATTTCAGATGCACAGTTCAGCAGTGATGAGCACACTCACAGTGTTGTGCAACAGATCTCCAAAACTTGTTTGTCTTGCTGAACAGAACCTGTACCCCTTAAACAGACCCATCCCCTTACTCCCCAGGCCTCTGACAGCCACTGCTCAGTTTTTTCTCTGTATGAATTTGCCCACTCCCGGGACCGTACGTGAGTGAGTTCATAGAGTAGTTGTCTTTTTTATAACTGATGTGTTCTGTGTAGCATAGTGTCAAGGCTCACCCATCTGGAAGCGTGTGTCAGAATTTCCTGCCTTTTGATGGCTGGATAATACTCCATTTGTTTGCCCATGCACCTCTTAACTATTGTGAATAATACTTCCATGCAGATGAGTGTGCAAGTATCTCTTCAAGTCCATTTTCACTTCTTTTAGATACATACCTGGACGTGAAAGTCCTGGCTTACGTAGTAATTCTGTGTTTCATGTTTTGAGGCCCTGCCATGTGATTCTGTATGTTATGACCAGGGAAATTCAGTAAGGTATGTGATAGAAGCAAAGTTAGATGACCACGTTTTTGTTTCATGTTTCCGCCACTGACTAGCCAAGGGATTGGACGGCATCTTTTTGATCCTCAGTTCAGTCATTTGGAAAATAAAAACCTCACTTCTTGTTGGTCTCCTGGCCTCACTTGTCCCTTCATTGAACAGGTGTGTTCGCGAGGGTTCCTGTGGGGCTGCGGCTGCACCGTACACGGACCCGCATGGCTGTTCCTCACGGGTTCCAGCAGTGAGGAGGGACACGGCTCTGAGAGTGCCTGTTAGCTAGCTGTAAATTACTGTGGAGACACTCACACTACTCGTGTTTAAGGAACTGTCCTTCCAAAGACATTCGTGTTCCCTTTTGCAAGTGATAAACCAGAAGAAAATGAAAATGAACAGAGAAGTCCTGGCATACGCCAAGTAGGCAGTTACCAAGCATTTGCTGAATGAGTAAAGAAATGGTTTTGGGATTTGGAGATGCAGTATAAGCAGATATGGATTCCTGTCTTCCTAAATTTTTAGAAACCTTGATTGCATTTTTAAAAACTGGCAGTTTTGTGTAGCACTCACGAGAATGTAGAGATGAAGCTGGGGGCGGTGGCGTGTGCCCGCAATACCAACGCCCTGGGAGGCTGAGGCAGGTGGGGTGACTTGGTGAGACCCTGCCTCACAGTTTCGCAAGGGCTGGAGATGTGAAACAGCGGGAAGATCCTGGGTTCAAACCTATTACTGCCAAAAAAGGAAAGGAAAAAAAAAGTAGAATGAGCCATACAGAAAAATCTTAACTCAGAATTCAAAATACTGACCTTTAGAGAGTACCAGAGTTGGCAGTATCCTTAGGCTTGCACATATTAATTAGAAGAGCTTAAGGGATCAAGCTTCATGCAAGATACCACATTCTTCTCACTGTGAATGCGGTGTGAAGTCCAAAATGTAAAGCCAGTATGATTTTTTGAATTATCTGGAGAAATAAAAGGATGCTTAATTCCTGGCGTTGTATTTATACTCACAGCATGTAAACTGAGAACTTTTTTCCCCAAAAGAAGTTCCGTTTAGAGGGATATAACTTGAATGACAGCTCATGCAAAATGATTCTGTACTGTGTGAAATAATGTAAAATCCCACCACTTGGTTCACTTTCAGATTCACATGAATAGCTAATAAGTTTTCAAAGTTCTAAAGGCCTTGGACTGTGACACTTCATTTTACACTCGTGTGCACCGGGCCTTGTGTTGACAGTAATGAGCGTTAGCATGGCCCGGTGGACGCCACAGCAGCTCCTCCTCAGCAGATGGTGTTCTCTGCCTTCTCTTCTGCAGGCAAACATGCTGAAGACATATTTGGTGAGTTGTTTAATGAGGCTAACAACTTCTACATCCGAGCAAATTCTCTTCAAGACAGAATTGATCGCCTCTCTGTCAAAGTCACACAGCTGGACTCCACAGTGGAGGAGGGTAGGTAATTGCATGAACGCAGTGAGCTGGAAGTGATGGCCACAAGATGGTAGTAATTAATTGTGGTGTAATCACTGCATTTTCTATGGGTAGTATGCTGACAGTTCGTCTTATCTTTCCCTGGAAGAATAGTGAGGGGCACCCCACAGCGCTGGGTTAATTAGAGACGAAAGGGTTTATCTTGTCTACCTCATACACCATGATTTTGTTTGAAAATTATAAATACAGTGTATGTTTAAACACTTCTTTCATATTAGAAATCCTGATAGTTATTGATAGTTATTTTAAAAGTACTTCCTTAGTTAAAATCTGTAGAACCACTCCAAAGAGTCCAGCTAAGAATAAGGACCCTAGTACACTGTGCTGCAGCTTGCAGGCCACCACCTGATACTCTTGTGAGGGTTGATGCCTGTGAGTAATCTTGGTGATTCTGTCCATTTCCGTATCTTACTGACCTTCTCAGAAAGAGCATTTACCAAAGGCCTTTAGACTTCAAGTTTTAGAATAATATTAATATCAACCAGCACATGTAGAATCATTTTGATGATATCCCCTAAAATGTGTGGCAGTTTCAACAAAATTTGAGGCATCAACAATTGCATTTTAAAAGTTTTGTTTTGAATGAGAGACTGAAGTTAGACTGGGAAAACATGTAAAAATGATAAGATATTGTACTTCACATTGCTTGGAGAAAAATATCCAAGTTACATATTATTTTTCTCTTTATATAGTACTAGTTAAATTTTTCTTGTTGCTTTAAAAAAAAATCTGAGCATCTTTGAGTTTTTTGCTGTACCTACATAGTAGTATAAAGTAGTTATTTGTAGAATTTATCCCTTATCATTTAAAAAAGATACATTTACTTATATTCAGGTCTTTATCAAAGGTCAAAATTAAAGTATGGTTAATACCTATTATGAGCATTCTTACTCTTGCAGCAATAAATAGGAAGCTAAAGACATATTCTTTTGAATCAGATTTTTAATCAGAAAAAATTAAATAGCTACTTGGTCTGTTCAGATAAGGAATTCTTAACATCTTAAGTCATTTACTGTTTAAATCAGTATCACAAGTGATTTTTAATACTCATCTTAAATTTTTTTGCTGGCTTTTGGAATTTGGAATGTTTATGATAAACTTTACATGGTTAAGCTGTAAATTAATGTTTATGAAATTTTAAGGTACATGTCATTTTTAAAATCCCTTCCCAATCAAAATTTCTACCTTCCTGAAAGCTAGGAAATCAGTGGTCTGTTTAGGGCTACCATTTTTTTTTTTTTTTTTTTGGCCAGAAGATCTTGGAAATCTCAGTTAATGTCTCGCAGTCATAGCTCCAGTAGTTGAACCAAATGGACTAATGGGACCAATTTGCCCACCTCAGAAGCTTATGTCAAAGTCAGATGAGTTAACAAATAGTATATAAATGGCATACAAACTTACAAAAGAAATGTACCAGGCCCTGATTTCCCTCCTCTTTAAGAGTAATTTTATGTATCAAACTACTTGATTTCTAGGACTATAAGTATGTTCCAAAGCTTTGCTGTCTTTCCTTAATATTTTTTTTGTTTGTTTGTTTTGTTTTGTTTTTCTCCGGTACCGGGAACCGAACTCACGACCTTGCGCTTGCTAGGCAGGCGCTTTGCCGCTGAGCTAAATCCCCAGCCCCTTTCCTTAATATTAATGTTGGAAAACCTTAGTATGTTATTTGCATTTGTGTAATTTTGCAGAAGTGTTTTCCCTAGATATTATACTTAAAGGGATATTAACTGGTTGGTTTCCCTTCTGCCCCCTGGGATACCATGCTGTTACGTTTCTGTATGGTTTTGGAGGAGTACTGTTTAAATAAAAAGCAATGTTCTACTGTTAGATTCAAAGAAATAATTAGAGTACTATAAAAGAATATGACCTTATCTTATCAAGAAAACTGTCACCTCTAACAAAGAAGGCATCAACTTCTGTTTAAGCATGGTTTTAAGGAAACAATAAAAACCACTATTTGATTATTCCAGGAGATTTTATGGTTGTGAGTCAAATGATACTTATATCTAAATAGTGAAAAACATTTCTTTGTATCTCAATTCGGGGGACTTTTCTCTAAATAGTGTCACTACAGGATATCAACATGAAAAAAGCTTTCAAAAGTTCTACCATCCAAGACCAGCAGGTGGTTTCAAAGAACAGCATTCCTAATCCTGTTGCTGACATTTACAACCAGAGTGATAAACCGCCTCCTCTGAACATCTTGACCCCTTACAGGTACGGCTCCCAGGTCCCTGGAGTCTTCTCGGTGCAGGTGGATGGAAAAGGGATGACGCATAGGGTGGGATCTTTGGTGGTTTATTTGGTGGCTTTAAAAAGAGTTCTTCCAAATTTTGAAAATAATAATTGCAGTTTGTAGCCAATGAAAGTAGTTAGTGATACAGAACTATCAAAGTTTTAGTATTTTAAGGTATAGGTACATTTACTAGCAGACGTGAGAGCGCTGATTTTAGCTGTCAGACATAGAAGCGGACACTTCCCATGGTGGCACTGTGTGTGGTTTTGTTGTTTGTTACTTGCAAAGTCAATTGGAAACGACTTGCACAGTTCATTTATAATGCAGCACAATACCTATCTCTACATCAGCACCCCAGAGTCATTTGTTACTTAATTCAGAAAAATGTATGCACCAGCGTTAGCATTTTCTAAGATTGAAAATAGCATTGCCAGATTAACCTTCTGTTATGTCTCCCAAGAAAAAGGATAGAAAATAAGGATTGCAGAAATTAATAGGAAGAGGTGACTGAGATACGCTTTTATTAAATGCCCTCGTGCTGCCCATCACCACAGAGGTTTCTTCTCGTGCCTACTGTCACCACCTTTTCATGTCGTCTGCTTGTCCCTGTGCTGGGGCTCGTCCCTCTGCCCTGCCCAGAGACCACTCCTTCAGCCTCTCTGAACAGACTGTGGTGGCCAGTGGCCTTCTGTGCCCCGGGCAGCTCTGCCAGCCGATGCTTCCCTGAGGGCCGTGGAGAGGCCTGGGAGAGAGTGTACTGCTTCTTTGCCTGCTTTCTTGACTTCCCTGCCTGGGGCCCTTTGGCCCTCCCCAGAGTGGCCAGAGGTTTCCACAGCCCGGTTTCCTGTCCTTTCTCAGGGTCCACAAGGACAGTCTGGAGCTACTGTTTAGTGTAGCTCTGCCAATAAAGGGCAGTTTGAACTGCATCCCTTTGTGCACAGAGAGATTCTGTCAGATAAGTGAGAGATCCCCTGGAAATGGCTGGGAGATGCGCAAGAAGCCCTGCCTTCTTATGGCACAAGACTGCCCTCCTGCAGGTGATGTGCACACATTTAAAGAGTTCAAGCACATGGGAATAGAAGCGTTGTGAGCCTCGAATTTAAACTTGTGACCGCTTTAAGTAAAACATGTTTTTGACTTTTTAATAACATTTTCAATAATAGCGGTGCTGGCTTGAATTCATGCATACAACAGTAGTCGGGGTACGTAAAACATAAACTTTTGCACTTAAATATGACAGTGTCAGAATGCTAAAAAGTTAAGGATTAGATACAGTAGACATAGGACCATAGCCGCTTTGTTTTTTTGTCAGATTAATACATGTTCCCGTCTTCATTCGAGTGTTAGCGCCCTATGAAAGAGCATACATTCTCTACCTCTTAACCTTTTCTGCAAGTTCTGCACTCAGGTTTTTGGACCTTTACCTGTACTCAAAGCCTAGGGTCTTGGAGAACAAATTCTCTTTTTCACAATAATGTTATTAATAAAATCTCTACCATGCAGCTTGCTTACAATTGGGAAGCTAGAAAAAGCAAGATATTAAATAACCCAAGGTTAAAAAATAGTGAGTTGTGTGGCTTGTCAGTAGTGATTTTCAGTCGCGGGGACTAGAATAGCTGTCATAGGCACCTGGTCCTTGGCATTGGAGGATGAGGAGCACACAGAAAGCAACAAGGCAGGCAGTCGGAGGAGGCACCTTTCCTCCAAGCTGTCTTTGATCGTTAACTCTTCCTCTCTGTGCTTCTATAATTGCTTTGATTCTCTTACGGGCCCTGAGTGGCTGTGGAAATACTAATATGAAATGTACATGTTTTGTTTTCCTTTTTGGAGGTCTGCAGGCCACATACTTTTTCAGACATTAACAGGATAGACTTTTTTTTTCTTTTTTTTTGGTTTTTCTCCGGTACCGGGAACCGAACTCACGACCTTGCACTTGCCAGGCAGGCGCTTTGCCGCTAAGCTAAATCCCCAGCCCCAACAGGATAGACTGTACTTGCACCATGGTTGTTTTGTATTATATTACTGTATTATATTACATTTTAATTCATAATGGTTGCATTATTTTTGGTAATATGGTAAATGAGTAACTTACATTTGAAATACTCGTTAGACCATAGCAATTACAGCAGTACTTACAAGTGAATAAAGTCTTTTTGAAAATACATTGCTCAGCGCTTTTTTCCCTAGCCACATTTATACAGTGAGTATTTTGCTTCTTTCCTAATTGAATTTACAGATACAGTGGGATCTTGGTTCACAAACACTTTATTTGTGAACAGTTTGGTTCACAAACAAAAGTATTTGGCAAAATTTTGTTTCCGTTTGCCAACTCTGCATTGAGTGATGAACATGACTACAGCCATCTTTCCCACACAAACACAAACATGACCACCTTTTCCAGAATTTGTGGACTGAATTAAGTTCGTGAACGAAGGTCCCACTGTATTGGGCAAACCTGATTGAGAAAGGACAGACTCTAACTCATTTTTATTGCAGTAATATTTAATCTCCAGAGTAGGAAGGAATGTATTTATACTAAGAATTCATCTATCTGTGTGTAGCACCGTGTTGGAGTAAAGTGTTTTCCTGAAATAGTTGAGCTACTAAAACTTGGTGTTTGTGAGCCATTGTGCGCTTTTTCAGAGCCATTTTCTATACTTCATTCTAAGTTTGCAGTGCCACCTTAGCCTTCTTACATAGAACAGGTCGCTTTCTGTGAATGTTTCCACATTTATTTCAAATAAGGAAATTCAGAGAATAATATACTTGATAGTGAGGATACCCGTGCAGATGTCTGCTGAGTTAAAATTTGAGTATTAACCTTGCATTGTTAGATAGAAGCATCTAACCATCTTTCCCTTCCTGGTTTATGATGCATTGATTCGTAGAGATGATAAGAAGGATGGGCTGAAGTTCTATACTGATCCTTCCTATTTCTTTGACCTCTGGAAAGAAAAAATGCTACAGGACACAGAAGACAAAAGAAAAGAGAAACGACGTCAGAAGGTACATAATTCCATTGCGGGAAACGTGCGTATCAGTGTGTATATGGGATTCTTGTTTATAAATAAATCAGTAAATTCTTTATTTAAATGGGTGAGATGTTGAACTTCATGCTGAAGGTGTTTTAGAGGTTATAGTTTTCATCTGAGGATTCTAACAATTGAGTCTAATACAGTAATTCATTTTTTCAATGAATAATGATTTGTTCTCTAATATTTGCTGTGCTTTAATAAAAATAGTGGCTTAAAGTTTAGTTTTGTTTGCAACCAGGTTTTATGACTCTCCTGCTCCCTCAGATTTTCATAAAGCAACCAGCACTGCATATTAGATATAAAGACGTGCTTTTTGTCCTTTGCCGTGCTTGGTTGTTGGGTTGCCATATCCCTATAATGGAGACCTCAGGAGCTGTTGATAGTGGGTGGGAAGTATGTGTGAGCCGTGTTCTCCACGGCCCATATTTCCTGAGACTGAGCCGACTTTTGAGCAGGCAGTGGTACGCAAGAGGCTTACAGTCCGAAGGCTCGGAACACCTGCCTTCCAGGGAGCCCTGGGAGGATGTGCTGGCTCCTGTTACGTTAAGGGACCAGGCCCAGAACTTAGGTCACTGAGAAGAGTAATTCTCTAAGAGCAAGTATTTGCTAATATTTAAGTTAACAATGACTCCATTTGCTTGACAGATATTAGAGTGTATTAACTGAGAGAACTGCTTAGCATTTTGCAGGCTGGTCTTAGTTTTGAAGCATTGAGGTGTATTGGCCAGGTAGGATTGAGAATTTAGGATAGAGGAAATTCAGCATTTGAAAACAAGATTTAAGAAAGGGAACATATGGCCTGAGGGTATGACTTAGTGGTAGAATATTTCCTAGCATATGTGAGGCCCTGGGTTCAATCCCTAGAACCACCACCACCCAAAAAAAAGAAGAAAGAAAAGAAAAAATGGCAGGGGTGAGGGATGCGAGATACTACTGCTGGATTCTGGGAAAAGCTAGAGAAGATGTGGGCTATTTACACTGTCATACTTATGGCTTGGGAAGATTGGACTGGGACATCTTAGAACTACAGAGTTCTGCAAAGAATGAAAGGAAAAGAAATACTCTTATGTTCCCACCAGCTTGAACCACCAGTAGCGCGTGCATGACAGGTTTCCGTCAAGCAGCTTGTATAGCTGGTGGTAGTCATGTGTGTATTACTGGTGGTTCAGGCAGCCTGGCAGCAAGACATGAATTAGAGCCCAGTTATAAACATGTTTAAGACATGTATGTTTTAAACCCTGTACCTTTTCATAGTAACAAGGGAAAATACCAGGGATTTCAAAAGTGCCTTTATTTAAAACCATTTGTCCTATTAAGAGGCTTTTGGTTTCCATTCTCAGAGATCCTTTTGACGAGAATATTCGTCTGGCCACTCTCCTTTAAACGGAAAACAAACTTTTATGTGTGATTATTGTGTTTTCAAAATCATCTGTCATTTCTTCTGCTATTTTGTCTCAGTCTATATTCCTCAAACTTAAAATTTTGGTAAAAATTTCTCATTCATTTTAATAAAATGATCCTTTGTTTAATGCCTTCTAAGTTCTAGATAAACTGATGAGAACGCAGGACTGTCACGCATGTGGAAATACAGTACAGTGAAGAGCACAGGTGGTGAACACTCATGCACGCCCCTAGAATTCACAGAGAAATTTGCAAATGTAAACACAAGTCTGCATCATAGAGGAATAGAAAAGGAGACGAGATAGCCTTCCATTCCCATGATTTCAGACACCTAAGTCACATTCACTTAAAATTGACTAAATCTGAAGGAAAAACTAGGGGATAACAAGCCATTGTGTTTAGATAATTCAGTTTTCTTTGGTTGGATGCTTAAAAACAAACAAACAAGCAGGAAGTTTTAAATATGTAGTAACACTGTTGGTAAGTGTCTTAAAGGGAAAGTGCAGAGCTTGAGCTGACCTGGTGGGGTGGCCCCGAGCACGTGGTGAGGTGCTGAGGGAAGCCGTAGAGAGGTGTCACAAGCTGAGGTGTGAGGGGACAGCTCAGCGGAGTAGGGGTGTGGGAGGGGTGGGCTGGCGGCCAGGAAAGGTGGGTAGGCTTCATTAACAGACCTTCTAGGTGGAACTATCTAAGAATATCCTAGGATAGGAAAGCATGTGGCATAGGCCAGGGGTTTTAGTAAGCAGGCCAGTGTAGCTGCAGTGTAGATTCATCACTGTTAATATTTTGTGATGATTGCTTCACGTTGTGTATGTGTGTCCTGTGGCTATCTTGGTAGGTAGAAGTGGAGGCTGAACCACTGTGTAAAAACAAAGCTCAATTCCTGAATATGTCAGCAGATATCTCTTAAAAAGTAATAGTTTTTAGGTTAACACATTGGCTCTTAGTCAGGGTGCATGTTGGGATCACATCAAAATCTCTCTCCACCTTTTTCTTTTGGATTTTAAAAGTTTGCACGCAATATGTATGGGTGTAAAGTGCTCAACCTGCCCGGAAGGAAATAAAGGCAAGCCCCACCCAGCCACTTTTCAAAGTAAGGTGTACAGTTTTTCAGCCCTTTCAAGCATGAATGAATACACACATGAACATTCAACAGAGTACTTTCTGTACATAAAATTGGACTACATATGATGTCCACAGACACTGTTAGAGATATACACTCCATTCTTAATAGTTATGTAATCTCCTGAACTATCGATAGTCATAAATTATTTACTCATCAGTGTATCCATAAATATAAGTTGCTGCTGTTCTTTTTTTTTTTTTTCTGTACCAGGAATTGAACTCAGGACCTTGAGCTTGCCAGGCAGGTGCTGTGCTGCTGAGCTACGTCCCTGGCTCAACTGCAGTTCTAGCAGAGCAGTGGGTTCTTCTTATACTGATGCAGAGTTTTTTAGGGTACATTTCTAGAGTAGAATCGCTGTTAATAAAGAGGGTGTGAATTGTAAATTTTGGAAGATACTATCATCTTGTCTGATGTGCATCTTAGTATCTTTCAGTCTTAAAAGACGGAAACACTAGCTGATACTCTTGACAGTCTTCCCATCCCCAAGTGCTAGTTTGCTTGACGAGCACCCCTCCACCATCTCATCTGCATACACATCCTTCCATAGGTTAGCTACTTCTGTACCTTTCATTTCATGCTCTCATCTTTTGCTGGTCCATTATCAAAGGCTTCCAAATACCTGTGGTTTACTTCACCCTTAAGTCATCTGCCATTTTATTTTTTTATTATTGTTTATTTCTCCCCACCCCTTCCTTCAACCCCTCTTCTCCTCATTTACAATGCTTTGTTAGCGTTTCATCCTTCTTTTATCATATTTTTCTTTTTCCTTCATTTTCTTACCTCTGCCTCCTTAGTAGCATTTTAACTGGTATCCCTGTTCTCCCCTTGTAATTTGTTCTGCACAACACAGAAGGTTCCTCACTCTGCCCGCCCTGCCTTCTCCCTCTCAGCAACCTTCCATTATTCATTAGATAAAGAGCACAATTTTTAGCATGGCCTTCAGAGTCTTCCCTGCCCCTCAGTTCTTGGGCCATTTGCCCACTTCACCATTTATCTTCTTTTATTTCTCCTGAGTCAGTGGATCTTCCCTCCTCCTCGGAACCTTGGCTTGCTTTGTCCCTCCTCTTGGCATGCAGTGATGCAAGCTGTGTGCATAACTAATGCCTGTTCACGCTACGGATCTGTCTCTGAGTCACTGCAGGAAGCCTCCCTGACTTCAGGACTTAGCTGGTGTTGGATATGTGTGCATATGCATGTTTACATAAATAAATACCTGCATACATGAAAATAAATGTATTTATATAATGTACGTTATTATTATTATTTTGAAATGTGAAGACCCTTCTGTTTTACCATATTTTAGAATGAATGATACATTTATATATACCATTTTGTAGGCTTGCTTGCAAGCCTCCAGTTCCATGAGAGTAGAGATGTATCATTTTTGTTTGATCTGTTCCCCGCTTGTGTTACCAGTGCCTGGCACTTAGTCAGCTGTAGAAGCTCATTCTTGAAGCATGGTGTGGATTGGATCATTGAGCCAGCATTTATCTTGAGCTCATGTAAGACATTTTGAGTGCCGTAAGAGGGAAGCATATGAGGTAGGGTACGCAGTCCTCTTCCTTAAAGATCGTAGAATCATGGGAAGGTAACAGCAGGAACTAACAGATGCACGTAGAAATAGCTGTCCTTGCCTTTAAAAAAGAACCTACGCAGGACCTGAGCATTTATTAAAACGAGTACATTTTTGCCAGCAAATAGCAGGAATGGCCCTGTGTGGGGGCAGGTAAGTTTTTGTCTTGTTTCGTGTTAAGCTAGTTTTAGTAACTTTTAATAAGCTTAAGTATTCTGTAATAATCTTCTATAAATTGGGGGCAGATTATTTTGAATTGTTTAATTTGAAAGATAATTGCATATCAACAAGCTAGGCAAAATTATATAGTTGTGGGAAATGGTATCTTTGAATAGTATTGCCAGATATTTTGGGTGTGCAGTATAGATGTAAAAGGTGTGAATATTTAAAACAGGCTGTAAGCCTAGCAGAGTGACAGTTTCTTTTAACAAAGATGACGGTAAGCAACTCTTATAACTGTAGCACGTGGTTTTGCTTAGGTGAAAGACCTTGGTGTCGGAGTCTTGGCGGGTCACGTGGGTGACAGGGGTCTGCTGTCATGAGTGTTCCTAAGGGCGGGTAACGGAAATATGAATGTCTCTTGTGTGCGCATCAGCCTTGTGTCCTGTGCATTGTAACTGCATCTAACCTGCTGTTTTCCTCTCCCTTCTGTCTTGGCATGCTTTCTTTTTCCCTGGACATCAGGAGCAAAAGCGTATAGATGGCGCCACCCGTGAGGTGAAAAAGGTTAGAAAAGCCAGAAACAGGCGCCAGGAGTGGAATATGATGGCATATGACAAAGAGCTTAGACCCGACAACAGGTTGTCTCAGAGTGTGCACCACGGAGCGTCTTCCGAGGGATCCCTGTCCCCAGATACTAGGTGTGTGTGTGTGTGTTTGTGTGTGTGTGTGTATGTGTGTTACAGCGCTTCCCTGGTGCTTGGCCCCTCTGCGTGTTTCCTGATTTTACTGTAACTTGGAAAGGCATCAGCAGTTTTGGGTTGACATGGTTTGCAGTAGGTTTCAAAATTCTCTCTTATCATTATTTGTATATTGATTTTGAATACTTTAAGGCAATATTTTGGGGAGGGTACTGGGAAATGAACTCAGGACCTTGCGCTTGCCAGGCAGGCGCTTATGCCACTGAGCTATATCCCCAGCCCAAGGCAATATTATTTTAAGTTGGCTTACTTTGTCTGTTTTTTTTCTGTCCAATTTACTGTTTATTTATTCTAGAGGTAGTGTTTTGGGGTAATTGGTAGTAACTTCAGTTTTCACTTTAATAATCATTAAATCTTTTAGCTTGAAGTTTTTAATTTCCTTTGTTCTTCATTATCTAAAAATAAGGTGATTTACTGTGATTTAGGAATGCTTTCACTCTTCTTGATAACCCTTTGAAAACACAATGAACAGAAGAGATTGACTTCTTACTTCTGATAATTAACCTTATGTATTCTGATTTCAGTGGGAGAATTCTGGTGGTGTTTAAAAAAGTGCTCACTGTGTCACATTTTTCACAGCAGGATTCTTTGGACAAAAAGAACTGATTGATCAGTTTAACTCTTGTTCTCATGTCCTCGTTCTGATTTTGCAAAGTTGTAGTCTCTTATTTGTATAAAGTCTCAAAGTCTTCAGCATTTAAAAATTCGAACATAGAATTCTTTTTTTGTTAATTTCCATTTTTATCAGTATGTATTTTCAGTACATGAGGATTAAACTCATCGTGCGGAGTTGATGGATGCACATAACACATCCGAATCCTCTTTACATCCCTCTCTTTCTGCCCTCCCTCCATCCTCAGAACAGAAAATTCATACGGGGAATACTTGCTGAAGAACCTACTCTATAGTTGCAGGACTTAAACGTCCATGCCCGAGTAGGCCTGAATCACTGGGTGAATTTGACCAGGCAGACTCTAGGTAATTTACCTGTACAGCTGTTAACTGTTAGAGGATCATTGGAGCTTTAGCTGAGCTCTAGCTGCGTGTTTGCATTTTAATATCAAAGATGGTACTTTTCTGCTTAGTTCTTGGGGTGGGGAGGACTATATGAACTGAATAGTTTCCACTGATGGGAATTTGCTATCCTATTTTCCAAAATAATGTCGTTGTGATTGTTTACACATGCAGAAGTATGTACTTTATTTTTATCCCATATACACCCTTTTCAAACCAATGCAAATGGAAAATAGATATTTTAAATCCCTTGGTTGATTGATTTGTGCTCCATTGTTTATGTTAAATAGCTAGATGTTGTGCAGAAAGTTCATGGCTGTTTGAGTTACTTAGTATTCTGCCTATTTATATTGTTTAGATATGTCTTCATTTCTGTGATTTTCCAAAAAGCAAGTAGAATTATGTTTTATTTCTGTAGCATTGTCTTTCGTCTACTATTCGTGCTCACACTGTTCACACATACCATTACTAACGTAAGTAGCTTGCAGCTCATCATTGTACTTGGATTGTATCCTTTAATTTAGAAAGTTTTATTTTTTATTTCACCAAGCTGTGCACCTTTTTTCTTATGAAATTTGACATAATTCCTAGATCTTTCAATTACATACAAAGTAAATATCCATCATCTTATCAGCCAGAGAAACCTCTCTTGGCGTATTAGCGTCTGTCTTTTTCTGTATATGTGCCTGCTGTGTTCTTCTATACAATTGGAATCGTTCCGTATGTTTTGACTTTTTTTAAAAAAAGGTATTTCATGTTTTAGGTATCATTTTAAAACATGGTTTTGTAATGCTTATATTCTATCATTGAAATGTGTTTCCCCATACTGAGGGAAACGTAATAGCAAGTTTCATGACATTCATGGAAGTGATGTACTTCAACCCAGCCCGCATAAACTGATCTTGAATTTTTGCCCTCACGACAGAACGTGAAGGATGGTTTGCTTCTGAGGGTGTGTAAGATGCGCGCTGCTGACACGCTTGCCTCCGGTAACCGGCTCTCTTTCAGCGAGCCCGGGAAGCATCACCCTGTGGCGCCCAGCTGTGTTTCTGTCATCCTGTGGGGGACCCTGTTACAGCGCGCGCGGCCTGCCTGCCTGTCTGCCCCGGGCCGTGGGTTTCCCACTGAATCTCCACTGCAGATCCGCCTGCTTTGTGTTTCAGTGCCGTGTGTTTTCACCTGCGCCTTCTCTTTTCTGCAGACGGCTGCCGGTCATCACTGAGCTCCAGGACTGCCCTGCTTCCCTTCCTGTGGTACTGGCTGTGGCTGGTGGCGGCTCCCCGCTTCCCCCTCCGCGTCCATCCCCCCGCAGCGCCCTGCTGCCTCCCCACTGCTCCTGCCTGCTGCCACTCACCCCCTTGTCCTCAGGTCCTTCACTGCTCAGCCGACCAGGCCCTCTGCTCCCCCTGCCTGTCCTCACCGGAGCCCCCTTTCGCCACCAGAGCCTCTACCGTTGCTTTGGCCTCTGTCTGGTTGGCCCCATTTTCTTGACTGCTTTTGGCCCTGAGTCGCAGAGGTACTTCACAAGGCTAGCACTGGGTGATTGCCGCAGGATTTATAGTTTTTGCCCTGCGTACCCTCGGAGGCACTCCATGTTTTGCTGGATTACTGTTTCCTTCTAAAAGCGGCACGCACAGCCACTGGCACAGGTACACAGTCAGAGGCAAGCGCGCCGTCAGTGACCCTGGGGTATCAAGTATTTGTATTTTCAAAATGTACTAACTGTAAACACACGTCAGATTCTTCTCCCATGAAAAATATGCTGAACTCAGCTGGGTGTGCTAGCACGTACCTGTCCTCCTACGTGCTAGGAAGGCCAAGGTAGGATTGCAAGCCTGAGGCCAACCTGGACAGCAGTGAGACCCAGTCTACAACTATTTTTGTGGGCTATGGGTGTAGCTTAGCACAGAGCTATTCCTTAGCCATGCCCAAGGCCCTGGGCTCCACCACCAGGCCAAATTTGATATATATATAATATAGGTATTTTAAAATCTATGGCAACTTGCATAGTTCAGAAGACACCCTCACGTGGACACCACACCGTAGAATTCATTCTCACAACTAGGGAAGAGAAATGAATTGTTATTTGCGACTGGCCCGTAATTAGGGAAAGAGGGAAAGGAAGCAGGCCCTTCCGCTCAGTAAGCTGCTCTGTGTCGCTCCGCGTCGCGGCGAGGGAAGCCGCCGTCGGAAACGCAGAGGAGGGCCCTGAGTTTGTGCCTTCTTCACGGCGTGCTCCCACACCCCAGCGTGTCTGCCTGTTTCCTTCAGAGGGAGAAACACAAGCTGAACCCTAACAGGAGCCAGCAAGTGCATGTGAGGAAAGTGAGGACACGAAGAGAAGAGTGGGACAGGAGGAAAATGGGCATTGAATTTATGAGTGACGCGAGGAGGCTGCAGCAGGCAGGGAGCGCGAGAGAGGACAGGCTGCCCAGAGGGTTTGTGGTTTTGCTTTCTTTGGACCCCCAGCCCCGGGCCACTCCGCTTCAGCGTCCTGAGCCGTGTGCAGCCTGCTGACCTGATTCCTTAACCCAGCCTCCGTGTGCGACTGTTACTAATGCCTGTAGCCTCGCGGCGGCCACGCCCACTGATCACTGCTCTCCCCCGGGCACTCGTGCCTTTCTCCTCTCAGCTCACTAATGCGAGGTTTCTCTTGCTTTTAGACTTTTGCACTCGACTCTGTAAAGAAAATAAGGGGCCTTTCCATGGTGTACCACATTGCTTCTTTCCCTCTGGGTTAAATAATGTCTTCTGCTCAAGAAAAACGCAGTGCACTCTTGCATTCTGGGTTTCTCTTTCTTTTCTTACTCGTCATATTTATCCAGCTCACCTGCCATTCTGTGTGTTCTAATTATATGCTGTCAGTTTCACTGCCGCTGAGATCTTCTGTCTGGTGCTGCTTCCCAGTGAAATGGGGTTTGTCTTGTAGCCTTGTCTTTCAGAGAAGAAGTATATGAAACACTGCGAAAACGAGGCTCTACTCTCTCATGCTTGCTGATCTGTCTTATTCACTTAGAGCACAAATCTGAATCCATGTAACACGGGGCTTGCTGCTAAAATAATAATTACGTTGTTGCTCAGAAGCTCTCGTGGGGCTAGACCTAGTTGATGGTAAAGGAAATACATGTCTTATTTCTTTGCATTGGTACTGTAATTATTTATATATATGCTTCTGTCTGTTAGAGAACAATTTTTACATGTAATTTACGTTTCTCCCACTGATCTCTCCCACGTCAGGTCCCATGCTTCAGATGTTACGGATTACTCTTACCCGGCTACCCCCAACCATTCTCTGCACCCGCAGCCGGTGACCCCCTCCTATTCTACTGGCGACGTACCACCGCATGGGGCCGCAAACCAGGCCCCTGAGCATGAGTACCGGCCCCCGTCTGCCTCAGCGAGGCACATGGCCTTAAACAGACCTCAGCAGCCGCCGCCGCCACCTCCTCCCCAAGCCCCGGAGGGGTCTCAGGCCTCGGCACCGATGGCCCCAGCAGATTATGGGTAAATCGCTCTTCCTCATGCTCTAGCTGCTATCTGTTCTTGGATTTGAGTCTTTCTGTGTGTGCTAGAATTCTAAGAGTGCTTCCTTTTACGTTGCTAGTTAACCCCTCTTTTTTGGCTTAGTTTTTAAGTGTTACTCTCTTAGAGCTGCCGTTCAGGAGAGATGAGTGTATGCCCCTGGTGAGGTGCAAAATATAATCAAGTGCAAGTGGATTAGACACTAGCAGTGGTGACACTCTCTGTATTAAGCAAGCGTGGCAGGTACGGCGGAGGCTGAGGCTGGCGTCGCACTGCTTCTGCACACAGGCTGAGTATGTGTGAGTCCTCAGGGTGAGTCCTTGGTACAGCGTGAATGCTGACCAGTGAACCGATTCAGATTCTCTGTGTGTCCGGAGTGAACCACAGGCAGTGCTTGTCACAGGTGACAAAGCCGTATCACGTTACTTCTGCTGACCCTGTCATCTCCTTCTTGACCTCGGGCCCTCGGCTCATTTGGTTCCACGGCCTTTAGTTTCTGTCTTGTGGATAGGAGCCCAACACGTCCTGCGAAAGACTGGCCTTTGCGTGTGTTCATCACCGTGAGCGCCCACCTTTACTTGGATGGGTTAACCCCCCTTTTGGCTGCACCCTAGTTTTCTAAGGGTTCCTCTCCTTAGAATCGGTGTCCAGGAAAGCTATCTAAACGCATGTCCGTGGCCCCCAGAGGGGCAGGCATAACCCTGGCTGTCCCTATCCACGGGCCCTGGTGAAGCCAGGACACCCTGAAGGTGTGCAGAGGCGGGAGGTGTCTGGTTCGGTTGGCTGGAAGAACCCTTGGTGGAATAGACTCGAGCTGATTTCTCGACTGTGGAACGTTGCAAAGCCTGGAGTACTCTGCAGACACTACGCCTCTGGGCTCCCGTGGGGCTTGGCTTTGTAGGGTTTTCCCAGTTTGGTGGCCACAGAACCTCAGGACACGGGTTCGGGAGCCTCAGCTCCTTGAGACACGCAGGCTGCAGGGTGATTGCTGTTGCTTTGACCTCTGTGGCCAGCCGTGTTACCTTAGCACTCCGTAGGAAGTGGCTTTATTTTTTGAGCGGTCTTTCTTGATGCATTTCAACAGAGCTTGCGTCTGTCGTAATGACTGATGTGAGTCCGAGGAAGTGACTGACTACAGAGCGCGCTGTGCGTCCTGCAGTGCCTAGGCCCGGCTCCCAGTGCCCCCTGTGGCCGGGGGCTTCTCTGGGAGGGACAGGCGGACTTCGGGTTGCGACTGTCTGTCTACCGCGGTGACTCTGTCTGTCTCGTCTGTTCATCAGGATGCTTCCGGCACAGATAATGGAGTATTACAATCCTTCGGGACCGCCGCCTCCTCCGCCCCCACCCGTGATCCCTTCAGCACAGACTGCGTTTGTCAGTCCTCTCCAGACCCCCGTGCAGCCCTCCTTTCCCGCACCGTCCGGCTCCGCGTACTCGGCGCCTCCTCACCCGCCCTCGGCTGGGCTCCTGGTCACAGCGCCGCCTCCCCCGGGGCCCCCGCCGCCCCCTCCGGGCCCGCCTGGCCCTGGCTCTGCTCTCTCATCTTCCCCGATGCATGGGCCCCCCACTGCCGAGACGAAGCGTCCCGAGCCTGCGCAGCCGCCCGTCAGTGACGCCCGGAGTGACCTCCTGGCCGCCATTCGGATGGGTGAGTGGACGCTCGGCTCCGCGGCCTTCCTTTCGCAGAGAGATTTCTTCAGATCTGCAGCTGGCTGTAGGCTTGTTGCCTTCGGTGATGGCTCTGTACATGAATGCGTTTTTGGAGCAGACATCGGGGAGCCTTTTTTTTTTTTTTTTAAAGTGTTCTTTTTTAGATGTCACTTAAACACATCATGATGAATTGATAATTCAGAAATTGAATTCAAAAATGGCATTCAGGAAAGCTTTACTAAAATAACAGAAATGGTCAGCTGATCAGTGGGACCTTCTCTACGTTCTGTTGCAAGGATAGAAACATAAGTAACAGAAAATGAGTTCATATCAACGACTTAGTTTTTTAAAGAAAATCTAAGATACCTCTTCAGCATTTATTTAACACCACAATGTTTTTGTCAGACAAAAGTGCTACCTTGATTCCCAGATCCCAAAACAGAAGGATGGAGTATGTCGGGCAGAATTGGGTGGGAGGCTGTCTTAGTTACTTTTCTCGTTGCTGAGACAAAACACCCAACATCCAAAGATAAGGAGGAAAGGTTTCTGTCGCTCACAGTCTGTAGAGGTTTCAGCCCACAGTCGGCTGGCTCCAAGGCAGGGTGGCATGGCAGAGGGGGATCTCAGAGGAGTAACAGTTCATCATGAGCAGAAGGTAGCAAAACAAGCAAAGGGTGAGCTTTCCTCTGAGCACCCATCCATCAGGCCTGAGGTCAGGGACGGGCACTACCCAGCAACCCCAGGGTTCTCTGTGTAGCTTGAACGTCATTGATACACTTAGATTTCATCAAGCAGTACATCTCAGAGGTAGAAAAGCTTAGATATTTCAGCTTTGCAGTCAACATAGGACAGTGTTAGACTTGGCATTTTTATACCTGTAGCCCTGTTCGCTGCAGGTTAACACATAATCAGGAACACGAGGGACGTGCTACATACAGACTGCCTCTGTTCCAAAAATGTGGGGGTCATAAAACACAAATGCTGAAGAACTACCTGGGTCATAGGGTGTCAGCAGAACACGGTTGTGTCAGTCAGCTGTCCTGCTGCTGGACGTGATACGTTGAGAAGTTAATTTCAGTCACTGTTGGAGGGATTCGGTCAGTAGTGAGCTGGTTCCCGGGCAGGAACATTGTGGAGTCAGGGCCTGCGGAGCAGAGCTGCCCAGTTCGTTGTGCCCGGGAGCAGAGCAGGGGACAGTGTCAGAACCAGCTGAGGGACCAGGTATGGTGCCCAGTGCCACACCTCTGTGACCCACCGGGACACAACCGGAGCAGGCCTGCTGATCTGCCGGGGCTGTGTTAACCCAGTGAAGTAGACACGTTAGGGTGCAGAGTGACAGTGCCCACCTTGTCATCTTCATACCCAGAGGTCTCCTTCCGCCACATGTAATCTCCAGGTAAAGACAGTAGCAAGTTCACAATTCCTCTGGGCGAAGGTGTTTTAAGCCTTTCACAGTTTTAGACTTTGCCCTTTGTCCCCAATCCTCACCATAAATCTGGCAAAAAGCAGCCAGCAATTTCCATACCAGAGCCTAAATGTTAGGCTATCTTCACATTTGTTTACCACCGTTAATCTTAGTCTCCCTCAGTCTCGGGACTTGGGAATAAGGTAGACAAATTTTCTGTGAAAGCCTGGCATACACGGCCTCCAGTCCAGCTGGCAGTGGAAGCCGTGTTTCCCACTGGGACTCCTGGGTCCGGCCTTCACTGCCGCATCCCTGTCAGCGTTCCAGAGCCCTGGGTTCTCACTGGAATCACCCAGAAGGCTCTGCTGGTAGCACTGTGGGGCTTCTCGGGCCCCCAGCGCCACACCTTTCCACACTCCTCCCACAAACCAGGTCCGGAAGCTTCTAAGCCACACGGTAGTTACGGTCACAGTTTTCTTTATGGGTCAGCTTCCTCATCACCGAGACACAGTCCGCAGCACTCCGACACAGCGGGAAGCCTGTGCAGTCCATGAGCCTGCTTGGCCTTTCTTGATCCGTGAAGCTGACACAGGAGGATTACTGCTCACCGTGATAATTAACACAACAGAGGTAATTCACTGGATCCTGAGCCAGGGAAAATTTTCTCTGTTTGCAATTACATTGAGTTTACAGTAAGTCCCTGACTTAGGAACGTTCAAGCTGTAAACTTTGACAGGTACGGGTAGACCTCGCGTGACTAACATTTGTAGGTGCAAACAGATCTTGGAAGGAGCTCCCGTACTGCGGACATGGTCACAGCCGTGCTGCTGTGCCTCACTGCACAGAGCGGTGGTGTCCACGGCACGGCGCTCAGTGGGGTGTCCACAAGCGCGGGGAAGAGTGGCGGTGACGTGGAGGCTTGGTTTTCTATGCATCACACTGCATATTTGTGTCAAAGGTGGACACGGCTGGCTTTGTCGACCTATGAAAGAATCTGACTTACAAACATTCTCTTGGAAGGGAGCTCGTGTGTAAGTCGGGGACTTACTGTTACTGATACAGTTTGAATAATGCTTGTAGGATTAACCTAGCAGCATTGGATCTGTGCTGATTCTCTGATGTTGTTTTTTTTAAGGAACTTCGCCCTTGAGCCGTTTAGGGGCTGAGGGAACAGTATGCTCCAAACAGTCCGGAGAGGGGCGTCTGTGAGAGTGAGAAAAGGCAGGAAAATGCTGGTCAGGTGTTAGCAGTTGGGGAGTGGAGGCAAGGTGGTAGGGGAATGTTTCTTTACTGACCTTAGAGCTGTTCTGTAAATCTGAGATTGTTTCAGAAGAAAAAGTTAAAAAATGATACACGTTAAGTCATCAGATACATTGTTACTAAATAGTCCAATAGGTAGTTTATCTTACACTCATTCCCAACATAAGGGGCTGGAGCAGAGGCCCCTCCGTTCCCTCCTAAGGCACTGTCCATCGGGTGTTCTGTGGTGACGGAGGTCTTCCACACTGACTATCCAGTTTGGGCCTCTCCCCACATCACTGCATGTTTAAAGCGGCTGGTGGCTAACATACGGGATGTCGTGGCTTTAGAACTTGCTTTGATGGTGCTCATGTGGACCAGTTATAACCAGCTTTCTTAAAATGGACTCGCATGTTCTTTGCTCCCCACAGATTTCTAAAACTCTGTCCTTAGCTCAGCAGAAAAGTCAGACCCATTAGTTCATTTTCCTTTTACTTGGGACAAATAAAGGGACTTGATTTCTAACCCCACATTTGTGTTCTTAGGAATCCAGCTAAAAAAGGTGCAGGAGCAGCGTGAGCAGGAAGCCAAGCGGGAGCCCGTCGGGAACGATGTGGCCACTATCCTATCCAGACGCATTGCCGTGGAGTACAGCGACTCCGACGACGACTCCGAGTTCGATGAGAATGACTGGTCCGACTGAGGCTGTGCGGCCGCGTGGCGGGGGACCGCCAGGACACTGGAAGTGGACTGGGGATCCCCGGTGGTCTCGGCACCTAGATAGTGGTACTATAATCTGTAGCTTAGCACCTTTTGTATTAATGATGTGATATTGCTTCTGCACATCCAAGAATTCTGGGTTTTTCAGTATTTACTGTGTAATACTTAAGTGCCACTGAACATAGCACATCACGCTGCACACGAGGAGATATGCCGTAACTATTGCATTGTCCTGAAAACAGCATCCTGCTTCCCTCTTGGCTGTAAAAGTATTTACTTTACTCTTACTGATCATTACGATTCTGTAGACTTGCTGTGTGTTTGTGAAGCTGCCTGGTGTGAAGTCTCTGCAAGGTTAACGACTGTCAGAGTGATGTCTTCTGACCAGTGATACTGTTTTACCTTTTGTTTTCCTTTTTTATTATAATGTGTTTTCGGAAGAAATTGGTTCTAGAGGGAACGGTCTAGCAACTCAGGAGAATCAAATGTTCCTGCATTCAGCTTATTGGCGTGGTAGCCTCTGAATGAAGATGAATGCTTGGTTGAATAATTTTCCTGCCGTTGCACTCACTCGTCAAATGTGAAGTTGGAAGGGCCTTTCTCAGGCAGGGTTCCCTGTGGACGATGAGTTCACTCAGCACTTGTTGATGATTTTTGTGAGGTTTCAGCAACGCATTAGTAATGTAGATGAGAACAAGGGCCGATCCCCCTCAGGGCCGCCGGGATGCCACTTGCAATACTGGCCTGCCCTGGTGGCTGGGGCAGCGGCCAGCCAGAACAGATGCAGGCTGTCTCTGGCCGCAGCAGCCAGCTGGTCAGCATGGCAGGCAGTGCAGGCCATGGTGCAGAGGGGCAGCTCCACTTGGTCCACGTTACAGAAGCTTAGGTTTAAATGAAAGAGGATGATACCCCTTTACCTCTCACGGTGCTGTGGCCAGTCCAGGGTCAGCCCTGCGAGCGTGGCCTTCACCCGTCCTAGAAGCACATGGCTCTCTTCTCTTGTATCACCGGCACATGACATTTTAGGAGGTACCTCACCACGCGACCTCGTTTCAGCCCATAGCTGAGCACTTTGCTCTCCCCTCTGCTGCCCTGTTCTTCCTGCCACATGGCGATCTCAGACCGGCTCAGGCAAACCAGGAACTAAAGAAGCACAGCTTCTGCTCTGTAATTCCAGGTGGAAGGTAACTGCTTGTTCAGAGTTCGTAACTGCTCAGGCTTGGATCATAGGTACGGGTGGAAGTGTGTGGAGACACTTCCCTTGCTGCAGCGCGCTTCCCAGCCTGCAATATTCCCGCCGGATGCAGGTCTGGGAAGTTCCGGTGAGCGCCAGCAGAACTGTGTTAGTTGCAGGGAGGATGCCAGCAGGACAGGAGGGAGAGCTCTGGGGAAACCAGCCAGCTGCCCCCGTCTCACCCTGCGCTCTGCAGGGGCACTGGCTGGCTTGGGGCGTCTGTCGTAGGCGTGTGTCCCTGCCCCCCGTGCGCTGGACTCTGGTCACTAGATTTGAAACTAAAAAGCTTGATGTCTGCACTCCTTCCCAAGACCCACTTGGCCATGTTTGAGCCCTCTCTGCTGCACCTGCCGCCGCTCCTCCCTGTGAGCACCTCGCGCTGGAGCTGCTCGCCGCGGGGCTGTCCCTGGAATTTCCTTGAACATTAGTTGCTACTAATACACTTAACTTCCTGTCTCTTCCTTCCAGTGTGGAGACCTGCTGTGCTGGCATCTCCCCGGGACTCTGAGCGTTTCCAGTGTTCTTTCGTCCTCAGTGTAACAGCCGGCCTTTGCGCTCCTTGCTGTCGGGGCCCCCGGTCACTCCTGGCTCCCTTGGTAGCTCTTCTTTGTTTTGTGTGGCCCTTCGTTCCCAGGCCGAAGGGAGCACGTTCAAGCTACTGTCCATGTCAGGGCTCCTTCTCCTTATCCCTGTACAACACGGTTAGTGGCAGTTTATCACAAATGTTCATGAGCCTGTCAGTCATTACTTGTCCTATAGTTTAATCAACAGGTTATATTTAATTTGATTTGTATGTGTAGTGAGAAAGCTTCTGCCCTGCTGTTTTCAGTAACCTTTAATAGAAGGGAGGATTACGAAGATGCAAATCAAATTATTTTTAGAGTATCTTTTCAATGAATTTGATTTAGCATAAAATTTTAAATTCAGATCGGATATGATACTGCATGAACAAAGTGAAGAGTCTGGATTTTCAGCTTTCATTTTCAAAAAGTATTGACAAAACAAATGGAGAAGATCATTCAGCAGCACATTTCACTTATGTAAATTTCAGATTTTGAATCACATTTATCACCTGTTCCCAGCTTTATCCCTTGCGTACATTTTAGTTGCTGTCCCACAAGCTTTTCCTTGCGGTGCAGACCCAGGCGGCGGGTGGGAAGACGCCGGAGTCCACGCGTCAGGGCGGAGGATTGTGCACTCTTAGCCCCAGCCATGAGGTTTGGTTGCTGGTGTTTTACTAAAGACGCTACTAGAAAATTAATGTTTTCATTTCAGTAAATTTTTAGCAAGATCCACATCTTTTATGAGCACCAAGTGTCTAAGTTGTAAAAGTTTATAATAATTTGCGACTGAAATACATGATACATTTTAATCCATTAAAGAGTAGTGGGAATGTATCAACCAGAGTAGCAAGTAACTTTTGTTTTATGAAGCAGAGTATCTGTCATCTTGCAGTATAACCAATGCTGTTGTACATTGAAAGTGGTATTAAAAAATCCTGTCAAACGATTTTTATCTGTTTGTATATCTTACTATAGATTATGTACAAGTAACATCTAAATAAAATTACACTTTTAACCCTAAAGGCTCTCTTGGCGATGGTAGTGTCGTGTGCCTGACTCTTTCCGGGCAGAATTTGGGACTAGTGTGGGGTTTCTATTTAGCCCTTTTGTAATCAGAGTCTACTCTGGTTGCCAGTTAATTTCTACATAGTGTTCGTGTGGCCAGGAGCTGAGCCCGCTTTCTCTGGTGGAGCCTCACGGGAGCCCTGGGGCTGTGAGAAGAGCCTCTGGAGGAGCAGGGACCACATATTCCGGGCACAGAGGATCTTGGCCATGTTTTGTCTTGGTAACAGTAGCGACCAGTGCTTATGTTTCACTTACTCCTTAAAGCAGTCTTTTAAGATACACCTTCTGTTTGATGTATGACAAAACCAGGGTGAGGTCAGGTTGTTCACCGGGGGCATGGCCAGATGCAGAACCTCAGCCCAGCGCTGGTATTTCATGTGGGCAGCAGGAGGAGTCCAGACGGGGGGTAGGCGTGGCCACGTTCACGAAGCCAGGCTGGAGTACAGGTGCGTGTAATAGCTGTATTTGAGCAGCCAGGCACGCCGTGTGTATCACGGCTGTATCACAGTGTCCTGGGTTCCCTGTAGCCTCCCACCAGTCTGCATGCTCCGGCCAGACGGACCTTACTCATCTTCGAACCTGAGAGCCAGGGCGTGATGCCCAATCTGCTGGACGGTAAGCCGCCTCTTGTTAAATGACTTAGAGGGACGAATGAGTTTCCAGTTACTTTCGAAATAAAAAGTAAACGGTCTGCCCCTTTATGGAGTGTTTGACCAAGTACCCTGTATTTCCTATTACTACTTGTGAGGATGCGTGGCTTCCTCCTTATTTGAGTGTGTTCCCACCACACTGAGCTCGTGAGCAGGCGCAGGCCTCCTGTAAACTGCCATGCTGTGTTTATCGGGTGTGGTGCGTGATGCTTACTAGGCAGCAATAAATAGTGATTGAGTAGCTGTCATTATACAGCAGAAGAGGAGCTTCTTCAACAAGTACTTGAGGCCTGGTAGGGGCTCTCACGCATGTGGACAGGCGGAGCCTGGTGGGAAGAGACGGTCACTGGGGTCGTGACCCGGAGGGACGGATTTCCCTCCCCGGCTCCAACCCTCATTCCCTGCTTCCTGGTCGCCGTGGCATGGGCAGCTGTGCTCCATGCACTTCCTGTCTTGGAGTTGGCCAGCGATGGGCTGAAAACATGAGCGACCTCTCGTGCTCCGAGGCGTGGGTGTCAGGGACGGTCAGGTGTTGCATCTCAGTGACGACAGCATGACTACGATGGTTCTCCGCGGCTGCTTTCCATATGCTTTTGAAGCTCATTAATGCCCTTTCAGGTATAAACAGTTGTATTCTGTTTTTATCACTAAGCAGTGTTTCACTGTAGGAACACAATGGATTTATCTGTCCTCTTTTGTAAGATTGGTCAAGTCTTTTCTGGATATATGCATTCATCCATCTTGGATATATTCCAAGAGTGAGACTGCTGTGTCATAGAAGTTTTGTAAGAACAGCCAGACTTTTTCTTTTCTTCTTTTGCAAAGTCGGTGTACACTAGCAATGTTGCTTCACTTCCTCAGATGTGATTTTCTGTAAATTGATCTTCCTTAGAGTTCACTGAGCTTCAGTCTGTAAGTATGTATCTTTCTTAGCATTTTTCAAATTTCTACTCCTTTCTATCCTTTTTAATACTCCTATTATACATATGTTCAACTTTTTGATACTGGCCAAAGTCTTTGATACTCTTTCAATGTAAAAGATTTATTTTCTTCCTGTTCTACAGATTAGAAATTTTTTTTAATCTATTGTTAAGTTCACTGATTGTTCTGTTATCTACAATTTGCTTTTAAGCCCATATAGTTTTTTTTATTTTCAGAGATTATATTTTTCCACTCTAGTAGAATTTCTTATTGGTCCTTTTTTATAAGTTTTACTTCTCTGCTAAGATTTCCTACCTGTTCTTTATAAACCTATTTTCCTTTGTGTCTTTGAGTATATACTAGGTCCTTCAAAACGCTTCTCCATTAATTCCAGCATCTTCATCATTTCAGGATCAATTTCTCTTCATTGCTTTTTCTCTTGAGTGTGTGCCTGGTAGTCTTGGATTGTATCCAGAACTGAGTGTGATACACTTGAGAGACTCTGGCTTCTATTATATTGCTTCTGAAAGTACTGCTTTTCTTTGAAGGAAATCGTTACACCAGGACCAGGCTTTGGCTCTTTGTGTCTACATGCCCAGAAGCAGAAGCTTCTCAAGTTCTTTTAGCTTTAGCCGGCCACTTAAGAGTTGGACTTACCAAGGTTTTGCACAATTTTTATATCCCCTGTCTAGTTCTCCTGAGTTCCTCTCTCACTTCTGTTTGGGTCACTTTGAGCTTGGTTCTCTGATTTTTTAAGCCCGTAGCGTGTGGGTTAAGCCAACTAGACTGCAGAATTTCCATTCAAGCTTAGTTGTCCTGCTTGGCAGGATGAGGCCCACCCTCAGACAAAAACCAATTAAAAATCAGGAAAGGCACTGAAAGATTTTCCTTTCCAAACATCAGTTCCCCTCCAGTGTTTGCTTTTTTTATTTTTGTCCAGCACTTTCCATAGCTGTGTTTGTTCCAGTTTATAAACGTTATCTGTAGAGAGTTGGTTTGGAATAAGTTGGTCCTCCGTCCCAGGAGCCTCATCTATAAATACTTGATGTAATGAATTTTTTAAAATGTTTTAAATGCAGAGTGGTGTTGAAAGCCAGAACATAGCAGATGACCAGCACTTTTTTTCCTGCCAGATGACCTTGTTTTTGGAAAGACCTCCACAATAAAGCTTGTATCTTTTCCTTAACTAAGTGCTTTCCAAAGATTGCGTGGTGCACAGTGAAACATTTACTGTTGGCATGTCTTAATTTCTGTGAATCAGAACGTTCTAATGTGTGCAAACAAAACCAAGCACACGAGTAATGGAGAACTGAGACTGACAGGCTTAACAAAATGTGAGCCTTAACCCCAGCCCCAACTTTTTTGTTCAGATAACCTCAGTGTTTTCACTCAACACTGTACATTTAGTTTCAGGAATAGATCTATACAAATAACATACTACCTTGTTTAGCCACACAGGGTGGAATCCAGGGCCTCACACGTGTTAAGGAAGCACTCTACCACTGAACCACATCGCCCACCCCAGGAGGTTACACTCTCAAAAAGTTTAAAAATCACTTCTTGATGGCCTCACTACCTGATTCTCTTAGATGTACATCAGCAAGAGTTCATATTGTTACAGCACTTTGTACTGTACTGTAATTGCTTTTTTGTTTGTTTGTTTTTTGAGACAGGGTCTCACTATGTAACTCTGGCTGGTCTTGAACCCAGTATGGAGCCCAGGCTGACCTCAGAGTGATCCTTCTGCCTCAGCCTCCCAAATGCTAGGATTATAGGCATGCACCACCACGCCTATACTGTAATTTGTATGCCATAAATTCAGTAGTGACATAGAGGTGCTAACATGCATTTTTAATTTGGAGTGTGGGTAACTTGTCGACATGTCTAACAGAGACTTTGATGACAGAGGTCTGTCTTTATAGGATACTCTCTTTACCAAGCTGGTACCTGGACATTTGCCAAAACACAACAGTACTGTCCTGGTGCTGTGTACAGGTAGCCTTCTTAGTTTCCCACTGCATTTTCTTTGTTCGTTGGTAATTTCTTTGTGCGTTGGTAATAGCAGCTTCAAATATAGCACCGTGATTAGTTAGAGGCGATGAGCTGATAATTGAGGGAAAACTACCTACCATGAGGAAAAACCAAGAAAGTGTGCCAGGTCAGCGCAGTTTAGAAAACTCAGTCCTTATCAGGAAGTGACACTGAAAACCATTTAATATTTCAGGGATGTCCTTCAGCTGTTCTGCTCTAAAACCAGTACACGCGGAAGTCAAACAGTTTGGGAATATGCAGTCCGCACATCCTGAGAACACAGTGGCCCTTAGCACTGCCCTTGCTGAGGTGCTGCCTTTTGTGCATGTATGTGAGGTAGTGGCTCACAGCGTACCTTCTGCCCACACACGTGAGGATAGTGGTGATTATATTAGGGTGGTCGCTGTCAGCTCCTTTAAAATGCCTTTTTACTATTTCAAGGGCCTGGGTGCTCAATTGGTTGGAGCTGGTTTCAAGGATGTGCCCTGAGTCTAGGACAGACAGGACACCATGGTCATCCTCCCTGGGCCCTGCACAGCTCGCCCTTCGGAGCCCCACCGTCCTCGGCGTCTCTCCGCGGGGAGTCAGGCCGTGCCCTCTTGTTCGGGCGGGTGCCTGCAGCAACTCTGGGTACCTCCCTGGGTGCTCTGTAGATGTCGCTCCCCTGGGAGTCCAGTTTCTGTCCTCACACTGGCTGGTGGCCGGGGGCGCACACAGGTCAGCACAGCTGTGGCCGTCCTTCCGCTCTCCCGGAGCCTCCAGCTTGGGGCTTCTCTTCTCATCCACAGCTTCCATTTCCTGCCACTTTGGATTTCAGGGATTGAGAGCCCCAGAAGTTGGGGGCTGCATAAGCCCCAGACCATAACCTGAAGTACCAAACCCTCCCAGAAGCGGTTGTACAACGGCCCGGGGCTGAGATGCCCCTGAACACGGGTGAAGCAGCCGGGTAGGGAGCCGCTTCAGTGCCTTCCGGGCTGAGACAGCTTTTCCACAGCACCCACATCGAGCAGCCTGGGGTGCAGCGTTCTGAGCCCATCTCAGATGGGGTCACAGTGTTGGGCAGGAGCCCTGGAACCCAGGGTCTCCGGTGCCCAGAGTATTACTGCACTTTCAACAACAGGTGCTGCTCTGGGCACCTGGCCTCACAAGCTTCAAAGCAGAGAGGCCACCTGCGCTGGTCTGGGCCATCGGTCAGGTGACCGACAGTGCCACACAGACTCGCGGCGGTGCCCAGCCTCCCGCCCGGCCTCCCTTGGCTACCGGGCTGCAGCAGGTGGAAGCCGGCCCACAGGACCGCTGAATAGCGACCTGCTTGTCTCCATCTTTGGACCCGCGGGCAGGGGTCTAATACTGTG